CGTTTGGCTGGATACACTTGTTGATATGGCTAGGAGCCGACCTCAGTGGCGTTCATGCTGTGAGTTTCTTTTTCCCACCACATCCTTCTTAGCCTCCCCTTCCAACCAACATCTCACTATTTCGCCTTATATAATTTTGCATAGTAATTTTTTTGGTGCACAGTAGCCGGCAGATAGCTTACCGGAGGAACGACGCCCATCCGTTACCGGTAGCTCAGCCGGCTTGCACGATTTGCATTTTTCTCTTTTTTCCTATATTTTGCGGCATAGCTGTGTTTCTCTCCTTTAGCTAACGTGTATTGTGATGATGGTTGGATGAGGAGACTAAACGCCAGGGGAGGGACAAAGAACCTCACAACACAAACGCCATTGTGGTCGGCTCCTAGCCTTGTCAACAACTTTATGCAGCCAAACGTGTTCACTGTCGTTTCGGTCCCCAACCAAGGAGCCGAGAGGCTCCAACTGAGGCCAACTTCGAACTAGGGGTCTGCATTTCTCTTGATCAAATCATCACTTGGCCACCCGTCCTCTTCCATCCACACCCTGGGCGCGTATACACGCTCGTTGCGGTTGTCGGTGTGTTGCCATGCACAACACGTGGCCGAGACATCGGAGCGTGGTGCGTGAAATAACAGTGCTGACCGGTTAGTTTCTTCTTCCTGTGCCATCAACAATGCATCCAACACGCTCAATGCTCACACGGTGTTCCAACTAGATATGAGCCAAACTGCGAAGTTACCAGTGGTCGAACGTAACTAGCCTCTTTATTTCGGCTGATCTAATGTGCCAGATTTCACAACCGTACAGCAGGTTCGAACGCACGGCTACATCGTACAGTATACCCTTCAAGGAGAGTGATGCGCACCGGTGCCATAGGTGGCGAAGGTTAGCAAAAGCGCCTAGTGCTTTTGCTATATGGTTTGTGACCTTGTCTTCAATTCCAACGGCGCTGATACAACTGCCTTGGTAGTTGAACTACTGAACGATTTCTAGCTGATTCACACCAAGGGTGCACGCAGTAGGCGGTCCTTGCCAATCTTGGAGGAGAGATTTGTATCTCAAGGGTGCAAAGAAACGCCCGTAACGGTTGACAACCAGTGTTAATCTGTCCAATGCCCCTTGGCACTTTTTTGAGCTGTCGCCGATGAAGACGATGTCGACAGCACACTCCAAAACTAGAAGCAGTTCCACCACTAATTCGTGTCCTGTGAACGCGATCTCCAAGACTTCGTCGCTAGTGAACTTGCAGGGGAAAGGTGACAACGGTTTTCTTTGTCACTCAGTGCTGGAGATATTGAAGGGCGGCAACTGCTTGGCGTAAGCCCTCATTCTGCCCAAGCTCCGCGCGTAAATCGGTCGCATAATATTTACATACTCATCGGGCACACCTTTTCTTAGCAGGCAGTCCCAAAGAGCACATCGATCCACCGAATCGATGGCACCTTTGATGTCGAGGAACACGACAACGGTGGGCCGCTAATATATGTGACGGTGCTCCAACAACTGACGCAAAATGAATATGTGGTTGACGCACCCCTAACCTCGACGAAACCCGGGTTGCTCCTCATGAGTCTGGCTTTCACTAGTGACAGTCAGTGTGTGAAGGATTACTGAGGCGAGCAATTTAGTGGCGATGGGGATCAGGATGTTTCCACTATAATTTCCGCATTCCGAACACGAGCCTCCTTTGAAGATCGGGACAATAACGGAGTGGCTCTAGTCGGTTGGGACAGTTTCCTGTTCTCACATTTTCATTGTTAACTCGTGTAACTCATCCACAAGAGCAGGTCCCCCGGATTTGAAGAGAGCTGGATCTAGATCACCTGGTCCCGCAGCTTTATTCAACTACAACAGTCACGTTCGACTTCTGAGCAAGAGGGCGGATCCAAAGAGAGCCCAGGGAGCATGGTGATCACTACTCGGTGAGGAATCTAACAATTCCGGCCGAATCAATTGATTTTCATAATGCTCAGTCCAACGCCCCAAGCGGTTTGACAAGTTGTGGATCGGCTGTCCACTCTCATCATAAAGTTTCACTAACACCAGTTTTTCTTCTACCCCTTCCTTGTATCAGACGCAACAACTTCCGATGGTTACCAAGGACACCGCCCACTTCTATCTCTGACGCACGATGAGACCACCAGGATTCGCCGTCTCTCTTCCGGCTACCACGTAGTTTTGTCCTGAGGTCTTTGCGAGTCCCATTGTGTTCGCTTCCAGCCGGAATGTGCCGGCGAGCATCGATAAGTTTCAGAGATCGCGAAGAGACGCGATGTGCATGTTGTCTATTACTACATGAGGATTTCGCTGCTGCTGGTAAGGTTTTGGCAATTTGATTTGCCACATGAAGACATGCCTGCAGTCAGTAACGTCTAGCAAATATGTCACCAGTGATCTTCAACCGTGTTCAGTGGGTACTTACTCGATCTGGATGCCAGCGTGCTTTGATACGCATTCAGAACACTCGGTTTCGCCAGTTGGCTGGTGTCAATACGCACTCACAGCAACGTTGCGGATGTCCGCCGAAACGCACCCGAATGTCGGCGCACACAAGAATGTGATTGCACTCCTTGCTCGTGCTCCAAATCGAGCGGCAGTTTTTGTCGCATCTTCTCTAGCGGTAACTGATCGCAATGTGTGGCTGCTCCGAGGCTGGTGGGCGCCAAATCAATCTTCTGCAAGTGCTGTGTCGAAAATTAGTGCTCGCGAGAAAGACGAGCATCTTCACACAGGTGTAGCAACCACTCGTTCTCATTACGGAAGCTTACACCATTTTGGCCGCCCAAATGAAACTCATTAGAGGACAATTTTCCGACTTGGGCGTTCAGATCACCAGCAAGCACCATAGTATCCGTACTTTTTCTGTTTCATTAAGTTGGCGATAGAATTCATTTTTCACTGAATCAGTGCTACAGTTTGTGGTCGCGTATACCGCAATAACAAACAGGCACCGTTTGTCTCTGCGCGACTTCGAAGCCTAGAATGAGCCAGCCCATCTAACGGCGCCCATCCGGCTGTTGGCTGGAATCCTATCCATCATGGCAGCTTCAGCTCGGAGACTCAAAACAATGCCTACACCGGTTTAACTTGCATTTGTAGCTGCGTCATCGCCAGACAGGTGCAATAAGAATGTTCCGCCATTGTCGCATGTGTGTGATTGCACGGTAAGCATGGAGCTCGGATCTTGCAGGCTAGTGTCCGATATGCAGCGAATATCTATAGATAGGGTCTCTATTGTTCCAGCAAGTACTGCCTGTTAGTCAATCTGTAACAATGTGCGCATGTTGACACATGCCAGTCTTAGATAGAGGACTCCAAAGAGCAACGAATGAACTGACAGTATCTGCTTGGTTGAATATGGACTTGTTGACTGGGCTGGAACGGTGCCCAGCGAGTATGGGTGTTGCAGCTAGAAGACAAGCGGCTATTGAAACGTGTCGTTGGAAAGCCAAGGATTAGGAGATTGAAAATACAGTACGTCCGATGGAAGAGGGCCGATGAACGTTTTGCCACGACCTTCCGCGCTCAGCATTCAGAGCGAGGTTAGCTGACAGCTAGCGATCGCCGGACAGTGTCATGTGGCTGTCTTTAGTTGTCTCGCTCGAACTGCCGGCGTGCCGGCCTATACCTCACCAGTTTTACGCTTGCATTCAGCTGATGCCTGAACTAAACCACTTGTATGAGGAGGATGCTATATGTCCTCACCACTAAGGTTAGAGAGAAATTAATGTGTCTGCACTCGCGCACCCACGCCATTCCGCTAAGCATTTGATGGCGGGGACAACTATCGTAAATGACCGGCATTCACCATTAGCGAGCCGCGGTCGGTTCATGAACCGCCCTTCACATTCTGGAATGCGTTCATCGGCCCTCTTCCATTGGACGTACTGTAGTTGGATAAAAGTGACGTTGGATCGGGACGATAAGGATAAAAAAGCGCAAGAAGGGGAATATGAATACTTAAAGGCTTGAGCAGTAGCATCCAAACCCCTATCCACCCTGCTCGATGCAGCAGATAGGGCGCCGTTGATTATTCTCTACGACGGCCAGAGCATCAAGGGATTATTTAAACGGAAAGTTCTTGGGTTATATTCTGTGGGCAGGATACTGTCAGGTTACCCAAGCCGAACACGTGAACGATTAGGGTTCTCAACCAAACCTTTGGTTCAAAAATCTTACCACAAGGCAGCGGGACTTTTTCACTGGGTTACAGAGAGTTCGTTTTATAGAGTAGGGAGCCACCTTCACTCCAACCTGGAGGGCCTCTAATCACTGACCAACCTGGTATGAGTGTCTCTGAAGGTGTAAAAAGCACCATCCAGCATGGATCGTTTGGCACACCAGTCATCGCACCACGTTAAGGTCCAGTCTCGTCGCGATGGAATTTATGCAACCAACATACTCTAAAAGTAATCACCGATATTTATTGCCCTTCTCACCCTGCACTCTAGCTGCATATCCACCTCGTCTACCAGAAAAAATATTCTAGAGCAATATATGCCCTGATGTTTCGTATCTGCGTAGTTGCGGTGAACCTCATGGTATCGTCAACCCGCACGCGACCGCTGATAGTAATGTGGGGGCGAAACGTCGATTAGATGTGTCGGCGTACTGCCGATGCCCTTTTCTTTCCCAGGACCACGGCCTATGTGCATCCTACCCATCACATTAGCCTCATCCTGTTTAATGGTGTCTCGTTAAGGAGCGTACAAATAAACTCCTATTACTGCTTTCGCATCACCGCTATTCTTGAGACCAAGTGTTTTTTTAATAAATCTATCCCATTACTCCCAGGCACTGAATCAAGAGCATAAGAGTAGCCACACAGTTATATCACTCTTATCTATAAAAAAATTTCCATTACGTACACCGGCACAGCGCATTGTTGAATTGAATCAAAGTCATCGGAGGATTGTTGCTAGCATGGAATCAAACAATAAACGTACCGCGGCAGTATAGCATAATTCCTCAAGCAATTCTGCTTTCGTTTTTCATTTCAGGCTCATCGAAAGACATCGTTGATGGCCCCGTCAGAAAAAGGTGAATTCCAGTTTGTCCGCTACGCACTGCCCTTGCTTTTCATTGGGAACCATTAATGACTTACTGGTGTGTTTACTGTACTATTCGCTTGCTGATGTCCCATTCTGGACTATTCGTTGCTACTATCGCGTCCGCTCAGCTCCATGGACCCAAATCGGTTGCTGCAACAGCGGAAATAACTGTCGTTGTCACCAACCACTTTCCAGGTTCTCCCTACAAGGTCTTACATGTCATACTCTGGGTTCTAACCCGGGATGTTTTAGTACTAGAAATTTTAGGCACATGAAGATTTGTCAGTTAGTCATCTACATCGCGCATCCTCCCCCAGATCATCACGAAAGTTTGGGCAAAGGCTTATTAACTCCACGATGCTTTTCATTTCATATTGCTTCTGATGCTTCACCTGGAGATTCCCCGCTTTTCTCGGTAGAGAAGCATAATCGCAAGATACACTGTCGTATCGCTTTTGTTACTACTGCTAGTACTAGCGCATGCAGATCTCAGCGAACACTGATCACATGCAGTTGAAAGTACTCTCGTTGACTGTAATTGGGTGATAAGCGGATGCTAGCGTCAGCGAATCGCATCGGACAGCCCAACATTTACCCAACCGATCAAGTTGTCCGGTTTTGTGGGCTTTTGACCAATGGCTCACAACATCACACCGCGATGCCTCATTAGCATGTGACTTCACTGCGTCCCGTAGCTGCATGAGCTGCGCCTTAACACAGGTACCCATGAATCCTTCTTGTTTGTTGTCACTCATGGGCATGGGAATGTGCCGTCCACTTCCTCGCATTGATTCCTCCGGCGTGCTTTCTTGAGCCGTTGTTTTGGAACTCGGGCGTATAACTTGCATTCCCTGATTCTTGGGTTCGAATCGCCAACCCTTATAAGGGCCTAGACGCCCCTGTAGTATCCCTGCCTTCATACAACCTCTTGGTTACAAGACTGCAAAGCATCCGTATAATATATTGATGTGCTGCTAACACCTGCCAAAGCACGTCTGGAATTAGGTTATATCATTTAAAAGTCGCTGAGCACTGTACGATACTGCCTCTCCAAAGGAATTCCTGAGTGTGCTTCCACCTCGCCTGCATCAGAGCAGCACTTATACTGAGCGTTTTACACACCATGCATTAATTTTCTTTCTTTCCTTTGCAGATCCTGCACCGACATTCCATGTGGCATTCTGTTCTTCATATTCATCTTGGGATTTCTGGTCGTCACATTGTGGAGTAAGTTTGTTTATTCGCCTCACACCTGGCCATCATGTCTTGTTTATCCAAACTATTCTTCTTACTGCTTGGAAATCCGTTGAGCCGAGCACTGTTACACTGCATGTTCATGTGATCCCTACGTGTACACTCTGCTGGAAAGCACTTCGACCGCTTTTGTACACTTCTTCATGTTCTCAAACGTCGCCACACAAGTGCAGTATCGTATGAGCGTATTCTTTGACTGTAAAGCTTTGACTCAGTTGATCACACCTGTTTTCAACACTATGGCGTGAGGGTGTTGCGAAGATAGTACTCCTTATCCTGGCTCTTGAGACCGTGTGTCTACTGGAGATTCTTAAATGCGTTTGTCGGCATAGGTTTCTTGTGAGTACTTCTACATTTGCTCATTATGATCGGACTGGTCGGGGAGGATTATGACCTGGCTACTTCACTCGAGATGTCCTGTTCGACATATTGCAGACAACTCAATTTTCAAAGAATTGACTAAGCACCGAATTACAAATTCCTAAACAGTTAACGCTTTCCTCTACATGTTCCAGTGGTTTTTGTCTTGGGAATGCCATCGCAATGAGGCTGGACCTTACCGTGGTGCGATGGTTTGCGTGCCTCAGAGATCCATTGAGCTATGCTGGGTGGTGCTTTTGCACCTTCAGAGCCACTCATACCAGATTGGTCAATGGTTAGAGGCCAGACAAACTCAGCCTCCTGGTCCTCCAAGTTGGGGGTTGGAATGGGGGTGGCTCCTCATTTCATAAAACGGGCTCCGTAGTCCAGTGCCAAAACCCGCTGCCTTGCGGTAAGGTTTTTGAACCAAAGGCTTTGGTTGAGAACCCTAATCGTTCTTCTGTCTAGGCCTGGGCAACCTGACAGTATTCTGCCCACGCAATACAATGAAACTTTCCTACAACAATTTCTTGATGCTCTGGCCGTCGCAGAGGATAATCAACGGTGCCCTATCTGCTGCATCGAGCAGGGTGGATAGGGGTTTGGATGCTACTGCTCAGGCCTTCCCGTCTTCTTATACCCCTTCTTGCGCTTCTTCATCCTTATCGTCCCGCTCCAACTTTACTTATATCCCCCCCATTTTCAATCCCCCAATTCTTGGCCCTCCCCCAGCTTTCTTCAGTAGTCGCTTGTCTTCTAATTTCAAATCACACACAATCCCAGGGCCTCGCTCCAATCCAGTTGACAAGTCCATGTTCAAGCAAGCGGACAACGTCAGTTCATCCGTTTCCCTTTGGAGTCCTCGCGTCTCGCTAAGACTGGCATGCTTCAACGTGCGCACTTTGCTGCAGATTGGCCAACAAGCAGCACTTGCCCGCACACTAGAGACCCTATCGATCGATATTTGCTGTTTATCAGAAACCCGCCTGCAAGATTTGAGCTCCGTATTTACCCTGAGATCCCCCACATGCGACACTGGCGGCACATTCTCATTGCGCCTGTCTGGCGATGATGCAGCTTCAAATGCCGGTCAAGCTGGCGTCGGCATTGTTTTGAGTCCCCGGGCTGAAGCTGCCCTGATTGATTGGATCCCAATAAACAGTAGGATGTGTGCCGTTAGATTATCTGGTTCGTTCCGTGCTACGAAGTCGCGCGGGGACAAACGGTGCCTGTTTGTCATTGCGGCTTACGCCCCTACAAACTGTAGCACTGATTCGGTAAAAGATGATTTCTATCAGCAACTGCACGAGCTCCTTCGTTACAGAAGAAGCACGGATACTGTGGTGTTGGCTGGTGATCTAAATGCCCAAGTCGGAAAGTTGTCCTCTGATGAGCTTCATCTGGGCGGCCAACATGGTGTAGGCTCGCGTAATGATAATGATGAGCGATTGCTACAGCTGTGTGAAGATGCTCGCCTCTTTCTCGCGAGCACTAACTTTCGACACAGCACCCGCAGAAGCGTGACTTGGCGGCCATCAGCCTCGGGCCAACCATGGACACAAATCGATCATATCGCGATCAGTTACCGCTGGAGAGGCTGTGTCCAAAATTGTCGCTCGATTTGGAGCACGAGCGTGGACTCTGACCACGCACTTGTCTGTGCCGACCTCCGGGTGCGTTTCGGTGGACGCCCGCAACGTCGAGGTGAACGGATTGACACCAGCCAGCTGGCGAAGCCAGATGTTCTGAATGTATACCATAGTGCGCTGACATCTGGGCTGAGCAAGCACCCACTAAACACCGTTGAAGATCACTGGTCGCATATTCGTCAAACGTTACTGTCAGCAGGCATGTCTTCATGTGGCAAAGCAAATTGCCAAACCGGACATTGGGTTTCTACACAGTCTATGGAATTTATGGATGCTCGCCGACGTATTCCGGCTGGAAGCGAATACAATGAGGCTCGCAAAAATGTCAGGGCAAAACTACGTGCCAGCCTAAAGAAGGACCGCGAAACCTGGTGGTCTCATCGTGCCTCTGAGATGGAAACAGCCGCTGCCGTGGGTAATCATCGTAAGTTATTCCGTCTGATACGGGAAACAGGCAGCAGGAGACCTGGTGTTAGCGAGACCATACGCGACGAGAGTGGGCAGCCGATCCACAGCTTGTCAAAACGCTTGGAGCGTTGGGCCGAACACTTTGCAAGGCAATTTAACCAACCTGAGTTATCGCTTTCTTCTTCGGGCATTGAGCGCCCTTCTCCTTGGGCCGTCTCCTCGGATCCGCCCTCACGCGCAGAGGTCGAACGTGAGATCCGGCTGTTGAAATTGCATAAGGCCTCAGGAGCGGATAGAATTCCCCCAGCCCTCTTCAAATTCGGGGGACCTGCTCTAGTAGATGATCTACACGAGTTGCTAGTAAAACTTTGGGAGCAGGAGACAGTCCCGACAGACTGGAACCGCTCCGTCATTGTCCCAATTTTCAAGGAGGCTCTCGTTTGGAATGCGGCAATCATAGAGGGATCAGTCTGATTTCGATTGCCTCTAAATTGCTTGCCTCTGTCATTCTCCACAGACTGACTGGCACTCGTGAAAGCCAGATTCGTGAAGAGCAAGCCGGATTTCGTCGAGGTCGGGGCTGCATCGACCACATCTTCACATTGCGTCAGTTGTTGGAGCACCGCCATGTTTATTGGCGACCCACCGTTGTCGTGTTTCTTGACATAAAAGGTGCCTTCGATTCGGTCGATCGATGTGCCCTTTGGGACTGTCTGCTGAGGAAAGGTGTGCCTGATAAATATGTAAACATTATCAAAGCACTGTACACGCATAGTTCGGGCAGGGTGAGGGTTTATGGCAAACTGTCGCCACCCTTCAGTATCACCAGCGGTGTGAGACAAGGATGCCCGCTGTCACCTTTCCTCTTCAACTTCGCTATTGATGAAGTCATGGAAACAGCGTTCGCTGGACACGACCTAGATGGTGTGGAACTACTTCCTGGTGAGCGACTTCTTGACTTGGAGTATGCGGACGATATTGCCCTAATCTGTGACAGCCTCCAAACACT